GTTGGTGGTGGTAATCCTGTAGGTTGGTGGTCGTAATCCTGAGGCTGGTGGTCGTAATCCTGAGGCTGGTGGTGGTAATCCTGAGGCTGGTGGTGGTAATCCTGAGGCTGGTGGTGGTAATCCTGAAGGTTGGTGGTGGTAATCCTGAGGTGGGTGGTGGTAATCCTGTAGGTAGGTGGTGGTAATCCTGTAGGTTGGTGGTGGTAATCCTATAGGTTGGTGGTCATAATCCTGAGGTGGGTGGTGGTAATCCTGAGGCTGGTGGTGGTAATCCTGTAGGTTGGTGGTGGTAATCCTATAGGTTGGTGGTAGTAATCCTTTAGGTTGGTGGTGGTAATCCTATAGGTTGGTGGTGGTAATCCTTTAGGTTGGTGGTGGTAATTCCGCAGTGGTGTGTTTTGTTGTGGAGTGTTGGTAGTGATGTTTACTTTTGTTGTTGTTGTTGTTTGTTTTTGGTAGGAAAAGGGGGAATAAAGATTGGGTAGCAGAGAATTTGAAGTCATATTGTCTAGCAAAAATAGGCTAAAAGTCTACATTGCCAATTCAGGGAAATTTTGGTAATCAACCCAGAAGAGAAAGGAGTTAATATTCTGTTAATAATTTAGGTACCGAAGAGGGCCATTTCATTGCACCGTCATTTTAAAATTAGAGAACCTGGAGAAAGTCAAGCTTGATGTCAAAAAGAGGTCAACAGCTAAACTTGCCAAATCGGACTGTAGGAAAAATATATGTTTCAAGGTTGTCTAGATTGCTTCTTGTTGAGAAATATTTATGAGTTAACCACCTTAAGTTTTACTGAGTACTTATTCAATCATTAATTTAATTAGACCCAGAACAGGGAAATGAGTTTTTTATATAAAAGCTAGGTTATTCATGTATTCTAAACAAGTTGTCAACTGCTTCCTGTGTTCAGACGTAGTGCCGGTCCCTGAGGATATAAAAATAGAGAGACACAGATCTAAGTATCTTTTTTTCTTCTCCCATAGAAGAGAGAAATCCCAATGACTTCCAAGAAGAGTGATGACTGAGATGGATGTGTCACTTAGTTCAATGTAAGAATTTCACATTGTATATCGAAGTAGTACGCTGAACCCCATAAATGAGCATCAGTGTACAAAGTTATGATTTAATAAAAAAAAATTTTAAAAAAGAGTGACTGCTAGAAAACATGAGTAAATTCAACTTTGAAGATTATTTTAGTTTCAGATGCTGTAGCTTAAATTTGAAAAGTAACATTAAAAATGCTTTGCTGAAAAACTACTTGTTTTATTATGTGGTTACGTGGTCACTCTCAATCCAAACTAGAATGTTTTTTGCCTGTTTCCTGTGTGCCCGGCACTGAAGTAGGTACAGGGGCTCTGAGTTCGCTCAGCCCCAGGGGTACTTCCTTCTTAAATCTGACTGTTACAAAGATAAAGGCCAAGCATCTATTTCTTAGGCTTTATATCCATTTTTGTTTCATTTCTTAAGAAATAGAAGCCGCCATGTGCTCAAGAAAAAATTATTTACATCTGTCATTTGAGTAACCTGATTTTATAAGGACTGTCAGCACAATTCACATTAAACTTAAATGCAAAGAGATCTGGTACCAATACTGAAGTGACCTCATGTTTTGTAAATATACCATTAAACCTGTTTTTCCAGGTACAACTTCAGAAGGACAACAGAGACCTTGGTCTATTACTTTTCATTTGCTATGAACAAAAATTTAGAAAGTACAGCTTATAAATAAATCATAGTATTTGCTCTCCTTTTTCCCCCTCCCATGACATCACCATTTCCCTCTAATATCTGCTTTTTGGATCACAAAAACATGTTATTTTCCCAGGCACCCAGGTCTTGTGATTAATGGAGCCAAGTCCAAGGACAAGATAAGCACACTGGGTCCTGGCGTGAATCCTAGACATGACCCTCAGTGAAGTCTTCTTTCTCTCACCTTGGGACTGTTTAATTCAATTTACTGTGATTTCTGTGACAAAAGCGGCTGGTAATTCTCTAAAGAAATTCCATCTGTCTAAATAAATAATAAAATTATTGGTTGATTTGCTAACTTTCTTTTTTTTCTTGAGACAGTCTCAAGCTGTTGTCCTGGGTAGAGTGCTATGGCATTACAGCTCACAGCAACCTCCAACTCCTGGGCTCAAGGGATTCTCCTGCCTCTGCCTCCTAAGTAGCTGGGACTACAGGTGCCCGCCACAACGCCTGGCTATTTTTTTTTGGTTGCAGCCGTCCTTGTTGTTTGGCGGGTCCAGGCTGGATTCGAACCCACCAGCTCAGGTGTATGTGGCTGGCACCTTAGCCAGTTGAGCCACAGGCGCCGAGCCAGATTTGCTAACTGTTAATAGATAATAAGCTCACACTATATCATTTTATTAACAAGTCTCCTCTGTTCTCCTTAGTATTACATATAAAAAGAAGTTGAAAATTGTATTGTTGTTGGGTGGCACCTATAGGCCAGTGGATAGGGTGCCGGCCACATATACTGAGGGTGGCGGGTTCAAACCCAGCCCAGGCCAGCTAAAACAACAATGACAACTACAACCAAAAAATAGCTGGGCATTGTGGGGACACCTATAGTCTCAACTACTTGGGAGCTGAGGCAAGAGAATCACATAAGACTCAAGATTTTGAGGTTGCTGTGAGCTGTCATGCAACAGCACTCTACTCAGGGCACAGCTTGAGACTCTGTCTCAAAAAAAAAAAAAAAAAAAAAAGAAAATAGAAATGTGGTAGACATCACCATTGCTTTACTTCTGATTTCATTTGTTTTTGGAGACAGAGTCTCACTCTGTTGCCCTTGGTAGAGTACTATGGTGTCATAGCTCACAGCAACCTCAAACTCTTAAGTCTTATGTGATTCTTTTGCCTCAGCCTCCTAGCTGGGACTATAGGAGCCCACCATAACTCCTGGCTATTTTTTGGTTGTAGTTGTCATTGTTGTTTACCTGGCCTGGGCTGGGTTCAAACCCCCCATCCTCTGTGTATGTGGCTTGTACTGTAACCACTGTGCTACGGGCCCTGAGCCTACTTCTGGGTTTCTTTTCTTTCTTTTTTTTTTTGTAGAAACACAGTCTCACTTTGTTGCCCTCGGTAGAGGGCTGTGACATCACAGCTCACAGCAACCTCAAACTCCTGGGCTTAGGTAATTTTCTTGCCTCAGCCTTCTGAGTATCAGGGACTACAGGCGCCCAGCACAATGCCTGGCTATTTTTTTTTTTTTTGGCCGGGGCTGGGTTTGAACCCACCACCCTCAGTTTATGGGGCCGGCATCCTACCTACTGAGCCACAGGTGCCTCCCCCTCCTTCTGGATTTTTAAGTGAAATCTTTCTATTCTTAAATATTGAAAATGAATTCCATTTTTAAAAATGTCCCTGGGTAGGCCAAACACGTCATGGATACTATCAGAGTCTGTTTGGGCTGCTGTACCAAAATACTATAGACTTAGGTGGCTTAAACAGCAGAAATTTATTGCTCACAGTTCTGGAGGAGGCTGAAAGTCCAAGATCAAGGGGGTGGCAGGTTGAGCATCTGGTGAGTTGGTTCTTGGTTCATAGATATTGCTGTCTCATTGTGTCCTCCCATGGTGGAATGGGCATCTTGTAAAACTGAAACTGCCTATTAAACAACAATTTCCCATTTTCCCCTCCCAGCCCCCGACAACATCCATTCCGCTTTTTGTCTCTATGTCACCAACATTTTTTTATGTCTGTCTTTTCAATTCTAGCTATCTAGTATCTCACTGGGTTTGATTTGCATTTTGCTGATGTATGATCATGTTGAACGTCTTTTCATGTGCTTATTGGCTATTTGCATGCCTTTGTTGGAGAAATGGCTATTCAAGTCCTTTGCTTTATTTTATTTTTATGTTTTAAAGAAACAAGGTCTTGGATCTAGGCTAGAGTAGGATGGTCTGGCAGCTTCAAACCCCTGGGTTCAACCAGTCCTTCTATCTTGGCCTCTCAAAGTACTGGGATTACAGGTGTGAGCCTTGCCCATTTTCCACTTTTTAATTGGGTTGTTTTCCATTTTGTTGTTGAGTTGTAAGAGTTCCAAATTTATTCTGGATATGTAGATCAGATTATGATTTGCAAGTATTTTATCCCATTCTGTAGGTTTTCTTTTTACGTATAGTGTTCTGTGTATCAGAATTTTAAATTTTGATGAAATCTAATTTAGCTTTTTTTTTTT